CTCCAAAACTAGCTCTTTTTTGAGGATAAATTACAAATCCAAATGATATTGCTCAGCAGATACTATGATAGAAAGTTCTACTTTCACCAGATAAGAGTTATTCCATGGCTTCACTTTCAACATGGTTTCCCTTTCAATCAAACTCTTATCTAGTCCATCAAATCTCACATTAGGAATTGTCGACAGTTACTTTTCAATCATTAGTAAGTTTTGCTTTTCTAACCACTGATTATCTCATAGAAATAAGTTACTTACATATTAAAAAGGGCTGTACCTTTTAAAGTGGCAGTGTCTGCTGCTCCAGGGTTGTAATTCTCTTCTCTAAAAGCTCTAAGCACTTAACTTGGGATTCATGGGCAGATTTCAAGGGTCTGTGAGTTCTGAGAATTCCCAAAGGGGAAAGAACAAAAAAAAAAGAGAGAGAGAGAGAGAGAGAGAGTGGTCATCACTGTGATTGGTGCCAGACTTTTGAATCTGTCTTTCTAGAACTATCTGAGCTGGCCCAATTTTGTTTTGAAGATCTAACCTAGCCCCTAGCCCCGGCCTTGCCCCTGCTTTTGAACTCTGAATGTGAATTCAGAGTCACTTCTTGCATCCTCTTTCCACACTTTTTAAAAATGTGATTCTGTTGTAACTGGTTATTCATTACAATTCTTTCTTCTTGAAAATAATTTCCTGAAAGATTAGGAAATCCCATTAAATGTATCACCTGTGGCCTCATTTGCTATTGTTAATAGTTAAAACAAATAATTCACATGCACCTTTTCTGTTTTAGAAGGAAAGCCATGTGAGAAAGAACCAAGGATTATCAGGTCTCATTTTTAACATTATAGTCATTGTACATATTTTTCTGCCAACCCTAAAATGGTGAATTACTGTAACGCAGCTCTGTCAATTGCCCAGTTTCTATAATCTATATCATTGCATATTTTATGAGTATGCTTTTGAAACCAACATCTCATTTCTGGCTACTCCAGGGAAATCCCAAACCACTGGAAATTTTAGCATGCACCAGTCTTGCAATTTGCATTTTTTGTTAGAAATATTGGAGATTTATGTATGCTATGTTCCATCTTTTTAAAACACGAGAATATACAAAAAATGAAACTTCAGTTTGGTTATTTCATGTGTCCAGAGGATATTTCAGCTCTTTCATTAGACTAAGGAATTCTGATGACTGAAATTATAGTCATTTCAACTTACCATGTACCAGGTAGAGAACACTTTAAGGGAGACAGAAGACAATTATGCTACGAGGAGCTAGAAAATAAATATTTTAAAAAACATACTCTTTAAAGTTCAAAATAATCCTGTTAATTAAGATTTATTTTCCCAGTTTACAGAAAGTAACTAAGCCTCTTAAAAGTTTAAATAATGGGGCCCTCCCTGGTGGCGCAGCGTTTTAAAGCACAGCACTAAGAAGCCAAAGCCACTTCAGCATGAGTTCAACCCCGTCTGCCCCTGGAGGTGATCCACATGGTGCATGTCTCTGGTGAATCCTTTACATTACAGCAATAAGTGTGTTTCTCTGTGTTTTATGGACCACTATAGCAAATAATTGAACCTGAGTAGAAGGTCAAGGGAATTCTGATTTAAAGCCATGTCAGAGAGAAGTGTAGATAATCTGGGTTCCCCTTCCTTATTGTCAGCCTCTGATGTGGAACCCTTTAGGTGCGTACTGAACGTGGATAGTCAGTGTTAGAATTGAATTGTAGGACACCCAAGTGGTGTCTGAAGAGTTAAAAATTTGGTTGATGTGAGAAAAAACCACATGTATGGTATTAGAGGTGCTGTAAGCAAACAGTGTTCCTTTGGTAGTGACATATACCCACCATTATAAACTGTATCAAACAGGTGCACTGCCCTAAAGGTTATCTGTGCTCCACCTGGTCATTTCTCTCCATCCTCCCCTCCCTAACTCCTGGCAACCACTGATTTTTAAAACTGCCATCATAATTTTGCCTTGTCTAAAATGTCATGTAGTTGACATCACAAAATATATTGACAAAGGCTACAAATGAGCAGCCCAATTAAGAGCAACACAGGGTAAGGTCCAGAGGGACCCCAAGTGCAAGAGCTTTTGTACCTGAGGAGTGGGGGTGCACCATCCTCTCAATGTGGACATATTTATCAACCTAAAAGCTCTTCCAACCTGTAGTTTAGGGATTTTTATGCAGGTTTCATTACATAGCCATGATTAGTTACTAATCCAGTCTCTACTCTGTCTTATCTCCCCAGAGGATGGAGAGTGAGGTTGAAAGATTTTAATCATGGTTTGTTCTTTTTAGTGATTAGTCCCTACTCTGAAACTATCCAGGAGCCCACATTAGAACAAAAAAAATTTTGCTATTACCCAGGAAACTCCAAGGGATTAAAGAGCTCCATGTTAAAACATCCCTATCCGCCCATCAAGTAGGGAATTAAGATGATGTTAGGAACACTATGTCAGGGATTTGAGTCAAAGACTAATAGAAGAAAAGGAAATTACAAGTGTCTTAGAACAGACTCTCAAATATCTACTTCCTATATCACAGGTGGGTACATGGCATCATACATTTGGCAAAACCTATAAGGCTATAGGACAAAAAACCCTCATGTAAACTTTATTAATAGTTCTCCAGATATGATAAATGTATCATACCAATGCAGAATGCTAATAATTGGAGAAATAGAACAGATGACAAAGGGGTATATGGAAACTACCTGTTCCATCAGTTGAAAACCTAACACTGCTTTAACAAAACAATACCTGTTAGTTTTGTTTTGTCTTAAGGTTTCAGTTCAGTCTCTTTCTAACAGTCAATGAGGCTGTTTGTCACACTGTTCAATGAAAAATTAAGTGTAACATTTAACAAGGAGAACTTAAATCATAACCCATGTCTGACCCAAAGTATTTGCTATGGGAATATATCAGAAGAAGTTGTGGTCGCCATCAATTAGGGGTAGCAGTTGAAAATGTGACATAAACCATGGGCAGATAAAGATAAGGAAGATAATGCTACTTAACAGTATAGACATACTTTTAAAACTACTGACTCCCTCAGGTCCTGTTTTATCTACACAAAACTTATCCTACCAAATATTTGAAATCTCATCAGTGTTTTGTCCAGACAGTAAAAAGCAGACTAGGAAGTCCATAGAGTAATAAAGATAGATAACACTGTTTATATCAATCTAAACTGTGCAAGCCAGAGATTTTGCAGAATAAAATGACTGCCCTATATTTTGTTATTTATGCTTCATGTCCTTTTCATTCTATATTTTGTGCAAGTTACCTCTTTGCATCAATTCAAAGTATTCAATAGGGCCATTTCAAGACCAGCAGAACAGAATCAAACACTAGTTTTATGTGTCTAGATTCTTATCTTGAATTTTGTAGAGCTAGTATTCATATATGCATGGTTAAATAATTTTAAAATAAAATTATGCTTTTACTCCTTAGGTGGGTTATAGTGAGGGGTTCAGGTTTAGTTCAGTCTCCTCTTTCTGTAGAATACAGAAAGTATGGATTCTATCAGAGAAAGTATGGATTCTATCAAAACCAGCTATGTCGAAGCCATTATCAAATCTTATATCAGATCCCATGCTTTTTTCATAAAACTGTAATCTGTACGATCTAAGAGCCTCATGGCACCCTATCCTGTTTTGTAAGGAGAATAACTGCTAAATTCTGGAGTCTGGCTTTCCAGGCTGCAAAAGCAGAACCTGTGTTCTCCAATTTTAATATGTTTTAAAATAATCACAAAATAACATGTTATCACTAGAAAACTTAGCATAAGAAAAGGAGGAGGAGCCAGAGAAGTTGGAAGAAAGAAAAAAGGGAAATAAAGGAAAACTGGAAGTAAGGAGGGGGATGAGAGAGAAATCATTTACAAGTTTATCACTGAGGCACTCAATGTACCCATTTAGTGCTTATTATCATGGATGAGTTGAAACACTATGCACTCTTGTAACTTGTCTTTCTCTTATTTTACAACTTCCCATAGAAGGCAGTGTAGCAAGATGTAGGTGAGAAAAAGTGTGTAGCTAGTGCACAGGAGAGCAATCTCTGGTATCAGACAGCCTGGTTCAGGTCCTTAATAGGTAGGCACAGGCCACTCGACTCGGGTCTCACATCCTAATGGGGACAAATTTACTTCGCCATGGGACACTTTCGGTGGAAATGTCCATTCAGCAATTCTCTCTTGTCCTTCAACTCCCCCCTCCCCCCATGCCAACTCCTCATTAATTTTCCCTGTGCTGTTACCAAAAGTAGTTGTCCTCTCTAAGCAGTAAAGATGGACTAGAGTATACTTTCAAATCCTGTTTTCCAATTGATGGTGCTAAATCTACAAAATCCACGGGGCAAATTCAAGGGGAATTTCGCCGTAAGGGAGGGCCCTACAATGCCATGGGAATGCAAATACCAGGTAAGTACCCTTCTTTGAAAACAAATTGTGGCTTGTGCCAAGCCTTTCCCTCGTGGCCTCGGGAGCAGCAGGCGGCTTCGCTCCCGCCCTCAGGCGCACCCCGAGGGCGGCGCGTCCTGCCTCTGTGAGGGCCAAACGGCCACCTTCCACCGCGGGGCTCGGACACCCAGCCACGCGCCCTCCGGGTCCTGCCTTCTACTGAGACGCTGACGAGCGTCCCGGAAAGAAGTAATACGCGTGGCCGTTCGACTTGGAGGGGAAATGAAGATTCTAGACCGTTCTTACCCTGGTTTCTCTCCCTGCTGAGACTCAAAGGAGCTACCACAGTCTTTGTTACACGGTGCCGCCGGCCCCCCACTCATGCCACGAAAGGACAGAATCTAGACGTAGAGAGGGAACAAGCGGCGGAAACAAACGGTGTGGTAAACTAACGGGTGCGGCCAAGGCGGTGGAACCCGAGGAGCCGCGCGGGAGGTCTTGGCCGAGGCGCGGGGCTCCGCCCTCGGGGGGCGCCGGGGCGGCGGGCGCGTGCGCGTTGCGGCCCCAGCCCCGGCCGCCGGCGCCGCGATGCCTATTTTAGTCAAAGCCGCGGCAAGCTCGGGGACACCGCACCCGCCTAGGAGCATCTGGACTTCGGCCAACCGAGGTTTTCGAGTCGAGTACCCGTCGAGCCCGTGTGTCCAGCGCCCCGCCGCTGCAGCCCCAAACTTTGGCCATCGCCGCCCAGGCTCGGTGCCAGGAACAAGTCAGGTAAAGGCTTGGGGCGGGGGGGCGAGGGGGGTGAGGGGGGAGGGAGGTGCAGCTGCCGCCGGCTCCCCCCAGCGCGCCCGGTTATTTGTAGCTTCGAGCTCCCGGGGCTAAATCGGGAAGCGAAAGTTGGATGCCAGCTCCGCAGGAAGCAACTTTGCTCGCGCCGGAGGCGGCTGCCTTCGCTTGGCGCTGGAGCCGCGTGGAACCCAGCCTTCTGCCTCTCGTCGCTGGCCGCACCCGCGCGGGATTCCCTGTGCCTGGAAGCGGGGTCTGCCCAGGTCCCGGCGCGGCGACCGCAGACCCTCAGGTGTCTGCTGCCGCGACTCTGCTCGGGCAGCGCCGGCGCACCCTGGTGTTCGTGCCGGAACGGGTGCCTTTCCCGCGCTCTGCCTGGGCTAAACCTTCGTAAGCTCCATCACGCCTCTCCCTGCTCCCGGGGCTCCCGACCCCGGAATCTATTTAGCCTGCTCCTCGCCCCCTGCAGGGCCTCCGGGTCCGCGCGAAGCCGGGTATCGCCCACCGATGCCGGGCGCTGGGCTTCCTAGATGGAGTATCTGCACAGCCCTCCCGCCGGAGAGCTCGGGGTCGGGAACAGTTGACACAGACTCTCTTTTAAGGAGCCAGGTGAGCGGGGCCCCTGGGGAGAGCAGGTGACTGTTCTCTCCCACGCGCGCACTTGTTTCCGAAGATTTGGGAAATGAGCAAGTTGTGGGTCAGTCGAGTCGCAGAAACTACCAGCCTTTGAAGCAAGAGTAAGTGTGAATGGCTTAACTGTTGTTTTTTTTCCCTTCCAAAGATGTGCAGAAATTCTGTTAGAATAACCGGATGAATGGAGCACGACCTTTGCCCTTGGCTGTTATCTTTTTCGTTTTTGTACTTTCAGAAGATTAATGTTAGTTTCACCATTTAGCCCTTCGTTCTCTAAACATCCACTGACAAACCAGTATGCAAACGGGATTATACTAAAGCAGGGTAATTTAAGGAAATAAACTCTGGACTCTTGATTTAGTAAAAAATAATCTGAATGCCCACCGCTTCACCAGTCTAACAGCCATCCTCATTAAACCCTTTCATTCCTAAGTAAGGATAGTTTAGTATGAGCAAAGGACTCTAAAACCGGAAAGAAGCAATCTCTATTGACATTAAGTAAGACATTTTAAAATAGGCACACAGATAAATCTAAAGACAAATAATTATATGTACTACATATAATAGGAATTATTAATACATTTTAGTATCGTTCTCCTTCCTGTAAAACTTATATTAATTCTGATTTCATTTTTATATAATTCTATAATTATGTATTTATTGTATAATATAATACATATATAGACATATAATTTTAATAGGGAGTGGTACATCAAAATATGTTGCAAGACGATCCCACCTTTTAAAAAAAAATCCATGTTGGCCCTCCCTGGTGGCGCAGCGGGTTGAAGCACAGCAGAAAGGCTAAAGCCGCTTTCGCATGAGTTCGATTCCCGCCTGCCCCGGAGGTGACCACATGGCGTGGCAGACCTCTCCTGACCCGCCCGCTGCTCCCCTCAGCAGTGTACTTCGTCTATCTGCCTGTTCTGTTCCCCGCTCTGTCTCTGGTGAAGCCTCTCGCCGCCCCTGAGCCTCTGGCCTGTACCCCAGTTCTGTATGCACAAATAAATGAAACTTTAAAAAAAAAAGAAAATCCATGTTACCATTCCCTGATTCTTGGGTCAGTAGGTCATAGTTTGCTGTCATTTTCTCTTGAAAGTGAACTTAGTACTTTTAGTGCCACTTGAAGAACTCTTAAAAGCTTGAAATTGAATGACAGTGGATTAGTTGGCAATACAGGCATAAAATTCTGTGGATGAGGGTGAACTTTAGTAAATTGTGTACTAGAGCCACAGACTATTAAAACCTGAAGAGGCTTCAGAGCCCATCTAGCTCAGCTGCTTCTATCCCCAGAAAGCAGAAAGAAGTTGCAGAAGTGACTCCCTGGTTTATATGGCTCCTGGAGTCTTGGGGTACAGAAACTGACTCATCCTGAGGAAGGAGATAGTGTCTTATCATTTCTGCTGAGGTTTGGAGAGACTGAAAAGTGATTGCTGAGAGCAACAGAGGTATGACTTACACCTCTGTCTCTGGCATTCTCTACAGAGCTAGGCCTTGGATATACAGAGATGAATATGACATTGGCTCTGACTCACAGAGAACATTGGGGCATTAGAACAAGTATGACAGTTGAAGTCAGAGTACATTCTAGAGTGCCTTAGAATTGTTAGTTATATAGCATTGTAATGCTAAGACATAAACTGACATTGATGCTAGCTTAATGAGAAAAGGAGGACATTTAATATTCTTTCTCCTAGAAATTATGAGATTAATTTTGGCTTGGTCTTTAAAAGCAAACTTTATAGACTTAGCATTATTAAAATAACTTTGCCTTCCCCATCCAAATAGGTTTATTTTTTTGTGCATTGATTCATACATTTGGAGAGGGGTTGAATTTATATGATTGCTTTCCAATCTAAGGCAACTATTTCTCTTATACATTTATGAGCTAATTCAGAGTCATTTGAAAAGAATATTCACCTTCTGGATTATTTCATTCCAAGTTTATAAGCATGTGTGTGCATGTATTGTTTTTTCTTTTCATCATGTTAAAAGATGTGGAATTCTTTTCCTTTTCTTTATTATTAATATTTTTAAAATGTCCAACTTGTACCAATTATTGTAACACCTAACACCTTTACTATGTTGAAAATAGTGAGTGCAAAAGTACATGCAACTGCATGACCTTATTTGGATAGAAATACATATCTCTAAATTAAATATAAAGGCATTTTGGGGTCTCCCTTTTGGATTTTCTTGGAAAAAGGATAATCCACTTATTCTGCATAGCTTTTGTCAAGGACCAGCTGTATAATTTATAGTAGATTTTTTTTTTTTTCCAGTCCCACAGACAGAGCAAGTAATACAGTCAGGAAATAGTGCCACTTTGTGTTAAGGTTTATGTAAGCATCTGTAAAATGTCTTTATTTGCTGTGGGTTTTAACATTAAATTATTGAATATGTATTTAAGGCCCCTTCTACATATAAGTAAACTGGAAGTTTACTACTTTTTCATTTGTGGAATGCTACCAACTGGAAGCTTTATGGGGAAAAAGTAGAGATTCAATTAGAAAATGAAAGAAGGTATAAATGTTACATCTGTGAATGTAGAAATAATTATAGAAATATATATCATGTAATAATGTATTAAATCACATAATGATTTAATAACATGTAAAAATAGAGTCTTCCAAATACCCCAAGCCTTCAAGTAGTAAATATGAGAGTCTTACATTTTTGCAAATATTTTAAAAATTCACTTTTGTGTGTGTTTGGATTCATTGTCACTAGTGGGTTTATGATAGAAAGTTCTATTAAATAATGTTGTATGTAATTCTGTGTTTGTGTGTGTGTGTGTGTGTGTATAGCCCTATATTAAGTATTTTATATATTTCATTACATTGCATCATAAAGACAAATGAGGCGTACCATTTAGCAGATAAGAGGGTTTATACATTTATATATTATACATTATACAGCTGGGATTTGAACCTGAGTCTCTTTAATCCATATGTACCAGATAAGTCTATTTACCAGCATTTAGTTCACAGAAATAATTTTGGTATAATGATAAGATACATCTGTCTTTTTTCGTTTGTTTGTTTGTTTTTACAGGAATTTGAAAGATGAATTATACCGAGTCCAGCCCACTGGTAGAATCAGCAGCAGCAGGTTTTACACCTCAGTTGTTAAGTATCACACCTGTGCCTTCCAACGAGACCACTTGTGAAAACTGGAGAGAAGTCCATCATCTAGTTTTTCATGTAGCAAATATTTTTTTTGCAATTGGGTTGGTAATTCCAACTACTCTTCACCTTCATATGATCCTTCTTAGGGGCTTGTTATCTATAGGTAAGTTGCCTAGCTGAAGTTTTATGTAACTTTCTGTGACTAACAACAGTTATACTTTGTATTGGGACTAAAGAGTCTTTTTGGTCAGATCTATAGCATACCAAAAAATTTGTTGTTGTTAGCAAATTAGCAGTATCTTAAGAACATCTTAAGAACATTGGCCTCCACATGTTTTAATATATTTCTTTCTTATTTTAGAGAAAAAGATGATGGTTTTCATTTCAGCTTAGATTTTACAGATACTACAAAATCCACTCGTGTTTAAGATTATGGGGCTGTGGAGCTGGCCCAAATCCTGGTTGCAAGAATTACTAACTATGTAAAGGGGGCCACGATTTAACCTGTCTACACCTCAGTTTCCCCATGTGTAAAATAAGGGTAAAAATACTTCGACTTCCTAGGATTATTGTAAGAATAGTTTAAGTGCATGTGTCTTATACTTAGTTTGTTGTCTGGCACATACACTTTGTAGACTTAATTATTACTGCTTGAAAAGGCATTCATTTCCCATGGCTAGTGAACAGTGGAAACAAAAGCAAGTGCCCAACATGATGGTCCATTTAAAACTTTGTTTTGGGGCCCTCCCCTGGTGGCGCATCGGTTAGGATGCAGCACTGCAAGCTGGCTGCAGCCGCTTCAGTGCGAGTTCAATCCTGGCTCCAGAAGTGACCCACATGGCGCAGCAGACCTCTCCTGACCCGCCCGCTGCTCTCCTCAGCAGCGTACCTCATCGATCTGCCTGTTCTGCTCCCCACTCTGTCTCTGGTGAATCCTCTCACTCCCTGCACTTCTGGCTTGTACCCCAGCTCTGTATAAATAACTAAATAAATCTTTAAAAACAAACAAACTCTTTGTTTTGGCTCCAGCAACACTGATAAGCAGGTTAAATTGCTTCATATCAAGATGCCAAAACATTAGAATTTATTAGTTTGTCCAGTGAGTCTTGACACATTACTCTATGTGTAACTGATTCCTTGAAGATCTATGTACTTGGCATTTTTGAGCACCTGTGATGTGTCACACAAAGTTAGAGAAGGCAGCATTCATCCTTCAGAAAGATACCCTTTGTCTCTCCAAAGAGTGTCTTTTCTTTGGCAAAGAAACAGATGAGCCATCACTGTAGTACCAGATGCTGGGGTGCAGATGTACACCCAGAAGCAGGGAGGAATGGAGAGAGTAGGCTCAGCATGAAGGCAGAGCAAGATTCCCCGGAGCTACTGGCATTGGAGGTGACTTTTGGAAGATGAATGAATGCGAGTGTGTGGTATCCCAAGGCATAAAGGGGAGGAAATTCCAGCTTGTCAAGAGAGACTGAGGAGCAACTCATCCTGCATGTAGTATTGGAACATGTTTGAAAATGGCAGGAAATGGTCAAGGTAACTGCAACAAGGTAGCTGTGGGACGTCCAGGGCTGTGAGCTCCTGGTAAATTAGGAATTTTAGCATGAGGAGTAAAATGTTGAATGAAAAAGCAAACCATGTAGAAAAGCAAAAGCCAGTTAGGAATTTTTTAAATATTTTTACTTATGCACACAAGAACTGGCGTACACGTCAGAGGTGCAGGGGTAAGAGGATTCACCAGCGACAGAGTGGGGAACAGAACAGGTACATCTTCTGAAATCCACTGCAGAGGGGAGCAGCAGAAGAGACCAGAGAGGTCTGCTGCACTATGTGGGTCAACTCCAGGGATCAAACTCATGCCTCAGTTGCTGGAGATAGCTTGATAGCATAAAACTTGATCATCTGCACCACCTAGGAGGCTCCACTAATGAATTTAAAATAGAGTTTTGAGGAGGAACAGACCAAGGAGATCATCTAGTCCAACACTATTTAGTAAAGAAACCGATGCTTGGAGAAGTTAAATGTCTTGTCCAAAGATTAAGTAAGAGAACGTAGCTGAACTAGGGCTATCATTCAAGTGGTCCAGCTTCCTAGTGGACCTTTATGTTCAATGTCCTTTAAGTACTTAAATTTTAAGTTTCTTCATAAAACAAAACATAAGTAAATTTATTCTGTATTTGCTGCATAATGTTATTTAATGTGTTTTTCATTTGGGGCTGAATGAACATTTAAGATTTTCATTTCGGGCTGTTAATTCAGGTGCTCTAACTCATTCTGAAGAACTAAAGTTTCGAATGAATAACTTGTTTTTAAAGTTGGAGGTTAGCTTTTATGTGCATGCTATTGATATATTTGTTTCATGCTTATCATTTTATTTTAAATATATATTGACTCTCACACCATAAAATTGATTGAAAGAAACTGGGGAGATTTTATCTAAAGTAAAAATCTATAAGAAAAGACAGGAAGATTCCCATAGATGAACAGATAATCAAGTGAAAATTCAAATTTTGTTAAAATATACAGGTTGACCAAAAATCATGGAAACACAAAGTGAATTATAACACACAATTTCTCACTATCAAATTAATAGTTTGAACTTTTATCATATTGGCAACTTGCTACTGGCATTCCCACCTGATAGGATTATAAATTTGTACAAATCTTTTAGAAGACAGTTCTTTAATATGATCAAAAGCTACAAAACACATTTGTTTGATTTATTGTTGGGTAATTGACCCTAGCAGTCCCCTAAATAAGTCAGTTTTTATGTAGAAAGATATTTTTTGACTATTTATCAAAATTGTACTGAAAAAATCTTATGTCCACCAGTGGGAGATATTAAATATAGTTTATTCAGCTAGTCATTGAAAACTATGTGCACAAGAGTTTTAATGAAATGGGGAAGTCATTGAAATAAGTGGAAGCAAAGAGTAGGTTTTTAACATATATACAGTAGTTTTGCCATTAGGTAAAAATATAAAGATTCTATGTATAATATATGAAGGCATCATTATTGGTTATATTTAAGTTATAGTTAAGTTTAAGTTAAGTTATATTTAAGTTATAGTTTCCAGCAATATAGGAGAGTTCCTTTTTGCCACATCCTCTCCAACACTTGTTAGATTTTTTTTAATATGTGCCTTTTTTTTTTACTGGTGTAAGGTGGTTTTGATTTGCATTTCCCTGATTACAAGGAGTGTTGAACACTTTTCATGTCTGTTGGCCATTTGCATTTCATCTTTGGAGAAGTGTCTGTGTGTTCTGCTCATTTTAAAAAATTTTCTATGTTTTGCAGACTTTGCAACAAAGCATGTCTTTTCTTTTTTTCTTAATCAGACAGAACCCAAAATGAGACTTAGCTTGATGTCTGACAGAGGTACTTCTAAAACATGTTTGGTTTATTCTTGTGCATAGTGCTATTCCAGGCATCTAACGTATTCACTTTATTATTCAACAGGATGTGTTCTTTATATCATCTGGGCCACTCTCTACCGATGTGCCTTGGATATCATGATCTGGAACTCTGTGTTCTTGGGTGTCAACATTTTGCATCTTTCATATCTTGTGTACAAGAAAAGACCGGTAATTACTAAAAATTAAATTAAAAGGAGGCAGTTTTAAAGATAAAACATTTTAGAGTATTTTGTTCAGATTAGAGGATAAGCAGCTAATATCTTTAATCTCTTCAATATCATTCCTGTCAAAATTAGACTTTTGCTAATGTATCCCTGAAGGTGGAACATTTGAATACCTTGGAATTTGTCCACATATGAGTTTTTAAAACTATTAGAACAATTTAGACATGAGAGAACATGACAGTATTTCTTTTTTAGTCATATAGCTTCATTTTTTTCTTTTGTGATTTGATCTTCAAATGTTATGTGGAAATGTCTTTGCCTAGTTATGGTAATAAACTGCTCATAGGCAATGTCTATGAACATACTAATAGCTGACAAATAGTTCATGTAATGACTCTATATTCTTAGTACATATACTTCATTTAGCGTAAATCATCAATCACTTAAGGGCATAACCATTTTTGGTGTTACCAGCACACCAATATTTAGCTTTTTCTCTTCAACTCCGATTTATCTTGTTTTTCTTTGGTCATACCAAGAATAAAAAGATGTAAATAGAGTAGGAAAACAGTATGATGCCTGGAAATTATACATATTTACCACCTGTCCAAGCATGCAGCAATACTTGGTGAAGTAGAAGATATAATGCTTGCCCAAATCTTATGTTCAAGGCCAGACATGTCTTTCTAAAAGAAAACTAGATAATTCATAGGAAATTAGAACTAATCATGTAGATGAACTATATAACAGGCATTCCACTAGATTGTAACCTTCCCAAATATTGTAATGCAGTCTGTTTTGCTTTGTGTGTTAATCAGTTTCCTCTAGGTCATATTGTATAACAAGCAACATGAAAATCTCAATGATATATATATATATATATATATATAAAACAATAAGTTCGTTCCCTACCCACCTTATATGTGAACTCTTGGCACCCATATGTCAGCTGTGATCCTATTTCATGTGTCCATTTCAGGGTCTTTGCTGAAGCAACAGGTTCTGTTTAGATGTACATTCTTATAACAGGAAGAAATGCATGAGAACAAAAGAGAAACACAGTGTCTCTGCTTAAATGGAGCTATGCCACTTTTCACATTTCATTGGCCAAAGCAGTTGACCCAGCCAAGCCTGGTAACATGGGAGCAGGGTGGGAGCAGGGAATGTATATCCTTTTACAGGAGGTGAGAGCAGCAAAGAGTTGGGAATGGTAGTACCTACCATACTTACAATTGTTTCCCCCTTAATGCTAACGTAATATGTGTCCAAAAAACACGATATGTATCCAAAAAAAAAATTTGATAAGTGGATGCTTTCAAAGAGAAGCATCCACAGGGCTCATGAAGGAATTGGTACTTACAGATTTGTAGGCTGAGTGGATCGTGAATGAGTCAATAGATTTTTTAGTTTTTCTGTTCTTGTGACACATTGACTGTGCGTGCTAGAAGTGGGACATACTTGTGAATAAATTATTGTAAACACTCATTACTTGAGCTCCGAAGTGGAGGAGGTAGATGATAGTCATGATGAAGATTGCACTCTGTAGATCAGAGTTTGGAACTCTATATTCTGAGCATAAGGTTCAGAAGTTGTTGATGTGATGGTAGTAACAAGTGAATATACTACTTAGTATCTGCTTTTGTTTCTTCTTGGACTATAAATCTAATTTTCCACATAGATAATGGTTCTTCATTAGAATGAAACTGTGACCAGAGCACGGAAGATCCTCCAGCAAGGTCTGAGAGCTCTTAAGATTTTGTCTTGTAAACTTTGTAGTGTGTTTGCCATAGACTTAACTGGGATAGATGATTGTTGAGCCCCAAGTTCATGCATGTGCTGTACACTTTTCCAGCCACACGATCATTGTGGTGTCCAGGCACTAAAACTGGGCTCAAAGATGGAACATCACCTGTGCCTTGCATAGTTTGACAGTAGAGGTGATGAAGTCATTTTTCATTTCTCTTTACCCAGTAGCCAGCCTAAATAGACAATGGGTTCTCCATTTAAAAAGTTTATTTTAGCTTGGGGTAAAACTGCTATTTGATATCCTTTTACACTTTCACTTAGCTTGAGATTAAACAAATGAGTAGCAGTGATAGTGATTGTGGATATTTTCCTATATTGGCATATTAAACAATAGTTACATGGAGTTCAAATGCTTCACATTTGTATTTCTATAAGTTTCATGGTTGTAATCTCACATGAAGTCCTATTTTGCATTTTTTCCTTTCTATAATATTTTAAAAGGTAGTGTAAATTTTTTTTCCTGTGAAACACAAGTGCTGTAAAAATGAAAAGGTTTTGTGTTCTTTCTAAAAATGCTAAGATTGAGCAGGTGACTGCCGAGAGAAAGCAGGACACTGATAGTGGCTTTATGGCACACGGGAAGAGGTGATCAATAGTGCAGATCTTTCCCAGATGCTCCCAGCTTCAGTTTGACTGCAAAGGTGCCCTTTAGCTTCTAAATTCGTGTCACTATTTGCACTCTGTAAGATTCCATTGACCAGAATCTGGAGGGGGATGGTCTGTCCTGCAGATGTGTATGTTCTCAGAAGTGCTTTTAGAACACAAAAGTCAGCATTTCGGCATTGTTGCATTAGTGTAGCATCTAGTCATTGCTGCATTTCAGGTAAAGATCGAAAAGGAGCTCAGTGGCATCTACCGGCGATTGTTTGAACCACTGCGTGTGCCTCCAGATTTGTTCAGAAGATTAACGGGCCAGTTTTGCATGATCCAAACCTTGAAAAAGGGCCAGACTTACGCTATAGAGGATAAAACCTCAGTTGACGACCGCCTGAGTATTCTCCTGAAGGGAAAGTAAGTGCTCTATGGAAACTGAAATTCCCCATTTGAATCTTCTCCTGGCCTCTGGGTAGGAAATGAAGGGCAGGAAATGTTGCTGATAATGGAGGAAGCAGTCACAGAAATTGTTGTTGGCAAAATTTCATTGTATAATGGCACTTTAGAATGCTCTACTGCCACATGGTAAGGTTATCTAGAGTTTACTACTCAGAATCTTGTTGGTATCATGGTTTTCCCCTGTGAATATTGGTCATCTTGTTTTCTCTTTTACTGAAAGTTAATGAGTCAAAAATCAAAATAGATATATATATTAGGCATTATAATTCAAGAAACTTAACACTGTTTCAGAGCTGGTTTGTTTTCCTAATATCACACACACACGAAATTTAAAGGACAGTCTTCTAGGGTGGGGGGCCACTGCTTAATATATTGTGCATAAATATTATTAACTATATTATGCATAATTATTATATGGCATATTTATGAATACCATCTCTATAATCACATTATCTAGAAGAGAAATTATAACTCTTGGAAGGCACATGTTGGATTCAATATGGAACCTGGGTTTTGTTGTGTTTTTCAAAATTTAGTTTGAAATAAATATTTCAAAATAATTATGTGAGTCATGTTTGTACTTCAATACAAAATATAGGCCTATAAGATTGTGAAGAGTCTTAAGGATTGTCTTGTACTCCGCAAAATATTATGTGTTTATATTAACATTTATTTCTGTTATCAGAATGAAGGTCTCCTATCGAGGACATTTTCTGCATAACATTTACCCCTGTGCCTTTATAGATTCTCCTGAATTTAGATCAACTCAGATGCACAAAGGTGAAAAATTCCAGGTATGGTTTGGCAAGATTTTTAAGAAGATTGAAATGAGTTTATATCCTGCTTAAAATCCCGAGGATATTGGTTGAAAATGGACATGATTTGTTGAATAAAGGGGAGATGTCGAAATACAGCACATATGTAGTATGACCTTATTTTTGTAAAATTTAAACAAAATAGTGCATACATGTACATCAAGAGGTCTAGAAAGATAAATCCTAATTGGCTATGATGTTTACACTGTTATTTCTGCATTGTGAGCTTGCTTTTTAATGTCCTTTTTTTCTTACTTGAATTTTTATAATATTCCCACAGAAAACGTCTGATACTTTTATCATGAGAAAAAAGGGAAAACATCAGTTGTGGAATCTTTTCCTAAAACATGTAATGGTTGTTTTTACTGAAGAAAAGAGACTTTCTTTTAGCAAATTTGTATAATAATCCTTTTGAGAAAAA